GCTTTACGGAAAAAAAATCACTTTTTTGTCAAAATCAGATCGCATTTAACATCGTGGTAATTCACTTCCGCATTGCGTGAAAAAATGACTTCGTCAATAATCAGAAAACTTTGTTTGTACGACACAGCATTTTGATTGGTTAACGAAAGACATGACCTGTTAGGTCAAAGGAAGTTGTTCAGGTCAAATCATGATGAAAAACACCATGGCGGAAATTGCTTTGTATCGAGAGTGTGCGAGCGATCAACAAATTTTCACAACGATGATAATGATAAAGATCTTGCCTTCGACAGTTTTCCCACAGACTCTACTCATTTTTGCACCATAAATTCAGACGGTATGTAAACCGTATTGTAATAAAAGTGTGTATTTTTATGAACATATTAATTATTTGTTTCTTCATTGTAAAAAGTGTTGTGGAAATCAAAAAGACATAATATTTCTCTGAGACCGGCGCTGTGAACGAAAAATGTAATTTTGATGATTTTTCGAGGTTGGGAAGAGAGTTACAATTTTAAACCCCCCAAAAATTATCTTTTCTGAGGTGGTCCTCGAGTATAAGCTCACCCCCTAATTTTCCCGATTTTACATGTTCAGGATCCTGGGCTTATACTCGGGGAAGTACGGTATTGTTATTCACAATTACCTTTATGTTCTTCCATTGGCTCAGCATCTGTTTTCCATACACCAAAATGGCCATCCATAGCAGCCTAACAAACAAAAACATTACATATTAACTGTCTCAGTAGTCTTGAAACACCTTACAAGATTAGAGATGTATTTGGCATTTCACTGTTTGTATTGGCTGATTCAAAGCAGGTACTAGTTTAACTTTTCAGAATAACTTTAGATCCTATTTACCGCTTTTGAATGTATTTTACTTTTTGTACTGTAACAGACCCCTTCACTTATTTGTTATGTATTTATTTATAGCAAGACCAATGGAAGCAAGACCCACTTACAAGATCCAGATTATAGTTATTCTACAGAAATCTACTACTTGCATGTATCATAACACTGTGATTGACTTGTACCAAGAGCAGAAATGGCAGACAGATCTATGCTCTTCTCTCCCTCCCTAATATTCACATTTCTGGTCTTTGAATGATTCAAAACAAAAGACTACCCATACAATTTGATTTTAGAAAAACATTGTATGACATATGACAAAAGAAAAATTTCATGAATAAGATACAATAAGTTTATGACTGAAAGCTAGTTATTCAACAGCAACAGCAACAGCAACAGCAACAGCAACAACAACAACACCAGACATTTACCCTCCTCATCCTACACATCTCTTAAAGAGCAACACTACAATATCCAAACAGATATTTATATATAATCCCACAATAGTTTCTCTTAGGTTGATGTCAAAAGACATGAGTGATTACCGTCAGAGTTTTGTATCAATCCAAGTGAAGCCACAGATGAAAATACTATAGACGCTACTCTGGCGCTAAGCACAAGTGCCTCCTTTTGTCAACCCGAGAGACAATATCAAAGGTTTATATATTTATCACATGCATTTCCAGTGAAACGTAGTGAGACATAGTGAAACATACTGAGACATAGTGAAACATAGAGCGACATAGTGACATAGTCAAACAGAGAAACATAGTGAGACATAGTGAAACATAGAGCGACATAGTGACACAAGTACAACATAGAGAGACATAGGGAGACATATATAGAGACATAGAGAGACATAGTGAGACATAGTGAGACATAGTAAGACATAGTGAAACAGAGAAACATGAGAAATAGAGAGACATATTGAGACAGAAAGACATAGAGAGACATAGAGAGACATAGTGAAACAGTGGAATGTTGACCATGGAGCTATTGCTGAAATAACAACGAATAGAAATATATCATTGCACATGCCTATATGCTAACTTTGTTGATGCCATGGTATTCTATTCTTGAATTTTGTTTTATTTCAACAAATTTTGTTGACGAATCTAATAATAATTTCTAAAATCACTCATGCGAACTTGCCAAAATGAATTATTACTACAACAATTTGTAGTTATTTGACTGCATATAAACTAAGGAACTACAACAATCTTCAGGCATGTCAACCTGAGAAACAATATCAAAGGTTTATATATTTATCACATGCATTTCCATAGTGAGACATAGTGAGACATACTGAGACATAGTGAAACACAGAGCGACATAGTGAGACATACTGAGACATAGTGAGACATAGTGAAACATAGTGAAACATAGAGCGACATAGTGAGACATAGTGAGACATACTGAGACATACTGAGACATAGTGAAACAGAGAGATATAGTGAAACATACTGAGACATAGTGCAACATAGAGCGACATAGTGAGACATAGTGAAACATACTGAGACATAGTGCGACATAGAGAGACAGTGAAACATCGTGGGACATAGTGAAACAGAAACATAGTGAGACATAGTAAGACAGAGCGACATAGTGAAACATAGTGCGACAGAGAGACATAGTGAAACAAAAGAAACATAGTGAGACAGTGAAACATAGTGAGACAGTGAAACATAGTGAGACATAGAGAAACAGTGCGAGATAGAGAGACAGTGAAACATAGTGGGACATAGTTAGACATAGTTAGACACAGTGAAACATAGTGAAACGGTGGAATGTTGACCGTGGAGTTACATAGTGCGACGTAGTGAGACATAGTGAAACATAGTGGGACATAGTGAAACAGAGAAATATTGAGACATATTGAGACATCGAGACATAGCGAGACATAGCGAGACATAGCGAGACATAGAGAGACATAGTGAGACATAGTGAAACATAGAGAAACATAACAACAATGAATAGAAATATATCATTGTGCATGCCTATATGCTAATTTTGTTGATGCCAT